ATCTTCACTATAAGCTGAGAAAGAGACACAGCGATCTCATCCTACTTAGGCTCTATATACGAGCAGTTTTCTGCATGTTATGAAAAACTCCGTACATCTGAACACGTTTGAGCGTACGTTGAGTGGGAATACCTGACGTTTGTACATTTGTACTTTCGACTGTACGCATTTACTTTGACTGTACACTTGTCGGCCTACATAATAGAGAGCAACAAAGTTGTTCGTTTAACCCTACCAATAGCAATCTTTCTCATGTAAGCAGCCTAGGGACCTATCTTCACTATAAGCTGAGAAAGAGACACAGCGATCTCATCCTACTTAGGCTCTATATACGAGCAGTTTTCTGCATGTTATGAAAAACTCCGTACATCTGAACACGTAAACAAAAAATATCTCTGCARTCTAGAATTTATTGCTGCTTTTGATTTACCAAAAATATCAACGAACTATTTACAAGTTAGCCATCTTTGCGCAAACTTCTATCTATTTACAATCCTATGTACAATTCGGTTAAGTAACATTGCTATTATCCACTAACAAAAAAGTTGAAATATAAGAAAGGTTCTTTGGCCTTGTTGTATAGTCACTCTGCTATCGAGTTGAGCAAGAAAGAGTTCTATAATTCTTCGTTTGCACAAGTGAAAAGCTGCATTTCGCTCGCTATATTAGATAATAACAACTTTCTTAACATTTCAGTTTAGTTGCGCAAATACTTGTTTTCAAGCARTCTAACTACTCATATACTATTTCCATTCACTTTCTCTTGCACTGTAAAAACAAGGAGCGTGACCGTCAATAATTTTACTAGCTGGACCATTGTCGAAACCTGTCAAATGGTCTTCCAGTGCTGTGTTCACACAAATGCATTTGCAAAGTAAACCAGAAAAAGAGTGTTAAGTGATGCTCAAGACAAACGAGTGATAGGACTCATGATCAAGTGGTTTTAAAAAATATATTTGTCTTTCACGTTTCAATCTGGTTATTTTCCCACATCATTTCTTCTATCCTTCTTATTCTTTCTCATTCTGTATTTCCTTCGATTCTTTTTCCCCTTACGATGATGGGTGACCTTTCTGTTCTTYTGTGTAGACACAGGAAAAGCGTTCACTTCGCTAGATTTCGGCGGTTTGCAAATGTGTTTGTCCACCGTTCGTCGACATTTCTCGCACTTTACGTGGCARCACCAATGAAACTTACAGTAGCACTTGTAGTCTTCTTCTACTTGAATCGTGTTGAAGCCTCGACCACAGCACAGAACTGCACATCCTCCAGACCCCTGCTCTGTGCGATTGCACTCGCGTCCTGAAGTCCCAAGAGATCCTGTGTTGGAATTTATCGAGCAATAATCGGGCGATTCCTCAAGATAGACCAGCTCATCTCTTGAAGGTCTTCTATAGCTGAAATCCGGATGCGTTAATTGGGTGCCGCTTTGGTCAACGGTTACGAGGAGGCAGTTCTCGTACTTGTGTTTTAAGTGTTCACCGACGATGCGGAAGGGTGGGAGCGTTTTCCAGCACGTCCTTACTGARCATGAGCCAGAAACACCGTGGCACTTACAGTCTAGAAGCATGTTTGTTTTAACCGCCTGTTAAAAAAACAAATACGGAATTAGTAAATCGTGAATTACTGGAACAAATGTGCAAATCAGCATACTCGAATTATTCAAAATTGATCTACGATTACTAAATGTCCCCTCCGGCTGGTAAAGGGGAGTGTTTTCAAGTGCTTCCGAGCTAGTATACGTAACGAACATAACAATAACCACGTGTGTATTGTCAGTCACGTACGTACATGGATACAGKCTTGAACAAACGATTATATTGTCCGTTAAAATTAGTGTGGGACTGAGCGACTTGGCCATTAATTGGGAGTAGAAAGTTCAACGACTCGCAGAAGGATGTTTGTCTTCAAACAACGGAATCATGTGGCATATACCGAACAAAAATTTTCTATATAAACCATAAAAACATTTTCTATATAAACTGTAGTGAAAATGTTTATATTTTAGGTCGACAACCTTTCCAAGATATTCCCGCCGCTACATGGGCGCGCGGAGATACGAATTATAGTTTCRATTGATGGATGGATTTTCAGAGGAAGTGAAGATAAAGCGGTCTTGTGTTATTCTGTTTACATACCGTAGCGTTTTTTCTATAAAACTTCAGTACATAAAATAGGTTGATAATCAAACCATCTGTTGGTAAGAYAACGGACTGAGACCAATTTATGGCTGTTTTCATAACTATCCTTTTTTTATGGTAATTTCTTTCATGTCACTCACATATAACGCGCACAAAATTCTACGTAATACTAACCGTGGAACCGAAGGAAATTGCGCGTCGACTATAGSATYATGAATTGAAATGCTGAAATGGTGTGTTCTTTCAATGCTAGTAATACACCGTTTTCTTTTGTTTGGGCTTAAGTATTGTTTTCTGAAACTGAAGTACGGTACAAGTACATGCAACGAAAACACGTTTCGGCAAGAAAGTTTTAAAGCCAACCAAAACACTTGTTTATAATACAACTAACAGTCTGCATAAAACATCGTTGGTTTGTTGATTTCCTAACTATTGTAAAGATATATGGACCAGAAAAGGAAAGTATATACCATAAATGATTGATATTATATACGAAAAGGAATCCAAGGAACGTAAGCACATCGCTACACAGACACCAAGCGAGACAGTGTGACCATACCCAGTGTGATGACTGAGYGTAAGTGGTCATTTATTTCCTACATAGGCGGTTAGTCAACGATACTTTCAAGCCTTAATTAATATGTCGACAATTAATCACAGTCAGAAATCAGATCATTTGAACTGCCATTGTTCTGGCTATATCAATGACTCCCTCATTCAAAACAACCGCATTTCTAAACAACAAATTTCCGTTTAGGAGTTTGGTTTTAATTTTGACACTTTCACGAAACGTTGAGATGTGGTTGTTACTGTGACTATAGTTGATCCAAGTTATCAGTTTCAAGGTGATTGGATTCCATTGTAGAGTAACGCCAACGCGCGYTCGTTCAAGCGAAAAAGAACTTTTAGTCTCTCTTGAAAAACATTCGTAATCTTGGATAATCCATGTACAAAACATTACTGCTTTTATAAATGCAATTKTCACTTCCTGTTTCGTTGAGTGATCGAAGCTTTTTAGACATGATGAAATCCGTTATGGCAGCCATTGTGACTTACAGACAATATAAGTTGAGTTGAAAAAGCTGTTTTTCTTTAATTTACCACATTTACTATATATCACATTATCTACTTGCATTACACTGAAACAAAACTACGTGATCTCCAACTTATGCATTTTTGCTTGTTCAAACATTTTGCACCAATAACGTACATATTGTGCGAGTAAGGTCAACATATGTTGCGGSCACTCAACTCAAATCTTATTATTCTCTTGTAAACCTTCTAAAAGATCACTCTCATAAATTGCAGATAAAGACCCAAAATACCTTCAATGTACTATGTAATAACGTCATAATGTCTCAAGTGCTGTTTATGAAAAATGTGAATGATACCCTAACTAGTAAAAGACCATGTTTACTTTCATTATCGTACGTGACCATTTTCAAAATGTACCATCCTGCCTAGTTCTTGCAACAAGTGACAAGCCCCGAGGGCGAATAACTTTCTAAACTTTTTTCAAARGAGTTACGATTATTACGATATAGGTTCAGTATGCAAAGGAGACTACTTCAACTTCTCGAAAGAACCGCCTAACTAATCAGGCTTACCATGAGTCATGTATGTGGCAAGAAAGGTGTTTCTTAGTGTCCTTTGTTATGAGGATCAACGATAAGAAAGGCTTTGGTATGCTAGTAACTTTAGTCATCAACGCACCCATTTTTACTTGTCTTGTTGTCCCACACAAACATTTCACTTTTATTCACGAAATGCTTCCAAAAACGTCAGTGCCTGAATTTTTGCAGGTTGTATAATCTTTTCAACTAGCTTTCAGAATCAGTGAAACAACTGGATTGTTGTCTGAACTGGTTTGGATATACGGGGCATGTGGTTGCAGGATGTGTGTTACCACGTTGCAGTGCTGATTGCTAACACGTCATTTCACTTACCCTTCGTCCCACATAATTGTTGTGTAAGTTTACCAGTGCTCTTGCATCGCGCTCGACTTCCCGCGCATCCACAAACGCTTTAGCAAAGTTCAATCCATAAGCGATGTTGTCACTACATCCTCCCCATTCAAAACCTTTTCGACTTCGTCCTGATCTGCGATTATCACATGAGCACTCTTTCAGCTCACCAAGAGTGCAAGAACGAGTCACCTCGTGGACTACGCCAGCGGTTGAGATAGCATACACAAAAGCTGTCTCTTTGCTTGCTAAAGAAGTAAACAAGGAAAACAAACAAGAGCTKATTTAGATTTTAACAATATGGAACGTGCTTCAGGACTTATAATATATCATTTTAAAAAACTGTAGTTATTTGAAATGGGAATTTTCCGTCAATTGTAATATCGTTGCTAACTAAGATTTAGTAAGCAAGACGTTTTACCTCTCCTCATAACTTTGCCAAACAGCGAGGCATCTCTATCAACCGTTGAACAGTTCCATCGTTGGTCTGCAAACTGGAATTGACATTCATCTATACCAAGCTTAGCACCTTTGCCAATGCTAACCATTACATCGGGATTTTCTCGACAGAGTTGTCTTTGGAAGCTTACTAGACCAGCAATGGTATTACACATGACTTTAGCGCCTAGAGCATACACTTGTGACATGAACCTGTTCAAAACAATATTATGATTTCTTCAGAAAAAAAAGCGCAAATACGTTCTTTTTCTTTACAAGTCACGGTACTGTTTGTTCGCTGCAACAAAATCTACTTCCATTTTGAACATAATAAATCCGTGAAGCAAATTAGTTCAAAAGCATCTAAAAKTACTATTATTTGGGATTTTGTCTACCTACCACCAATGCGCAGTGGTTTGATGAGAAATTGTTAGAAGAAAAAGTAAAATCCAAACTACATGTAGACGTCGTCTCATCTTGATGACTTAGTAAAGTTCTACCACTACAACGAGCGAACACTTAAGAGCGATATTATTGAAGATCCAATGACGATTGGTTGGGTATAAAACCATTGGACCGGGGGCCGTCATTTAGTTCCGCTACGAATTTTGATTGGCTTATAAACAAAAAGAAAGTCTAAAATAAAAGAAGCTTTTGCCGGTGTTTGGTAATTCGGTCATAACCCACGCAGTAGCAATTCACGAAGTTGAGAGCAAGAGCAATAAAGAAGTTCTATTAAAGGATGTGATCACGAAAGAAGTATGTTTGTTTGTAGTGTTTATTAAGCGTATATGTTTTACAAATTTGTGTTTATATTGCACACTTTGATATCCAAACAATTTGAACTCTTTGTATTGTTTKTGTAGTATCCATGCTAAAACCTTGTTAAAATCAATAAACTTTCAGGAAATGAAAAAAAGGGTGTTTGATTGATTGTTATTTACGACCGAATAACTTTAGCGTCAAAAAATATGGCGCGCAAAGTTTCTATTTCCTTCTCAGAAAGGTTGGTTTTGGTGTTTCAGTATATTTCTGTAAGCCATTGAGGCTCATTGAAGYCAAAGCCGCTAGYAATAATGGTAATAGACCCATATCGTTTAGACCATTTAGGACAAAAGGAGCGGCAGTGTTTGAGTAATTAGTTGAAGTTCGGTGTCCATTGAACATGTGAAACAAATCTGGAATCTTTTGATCACGTAGACTAGGTAATTATACGCTAAAGAAAGCGGGCAACCTTTGCCAGGAAGAAACATACTTCTTCATTGTGTAGAGGCAGTCAAMAGTCATTCCCTTCTTGTTCAAATTTGCCGCTAAAATGAAGGGAAGCATGAACTAGCAGTCACAGTACATTAATCCTAAAATAATTCATTTATTTTCGTTCTAATATAAGGATTAGTGGTTTATATGCAAATAATTAGTCGGCTAGACTTCTCATTATCTTTGGCCAGCCAAAAAATGGCGCTAGGAAGACGAAGAGTTCATAACCTCACGGAATACAAGGCCGTAGCCCGCATCGATWTGAAACGGTCCGTTTTTTGAATAATTGGTTCATTTTTTTTCGGGAAAACACTAATCGCTCTATGTGTTTTTATTAGGAAGGGATGATTCTAGTTAACTATGGGATAGTTCTTGCGGAAAATGTTGGTCTGAATTAAAACCACGCAGCAATCGTGCCAATGGCTATCCGGCTCTGATTTGCCTTTCTAKCCAAAAAAAACTATAGACTAGCTAGCTAGTTAAGCCTAAATCTTTGATTATTTTTGTTATCAGCGCGGAAGGCATATCGTACAGTAGTTCGTATTTAAATGGGAAATGTTTGCTCTTCGACATTCTCTGGAAAACCAGGTGCTTATTTCCTCGTTAATTTGCGATTCATGTTTATAAAAAGACCAGAAACTAACGTTAAACCAATTTCGAGCTTGTCGTTTTTTCAAACAAAGTGATTTTATTTCCACCATAAAAACGATAGAAACTGAACACCTGACGTTTCGACGTCGGAAAAGCTTTTTATYGCGATCTAGAAGTTTCGGATTTTGAGTTTTCTCCATCTGCTACCAGATAAATTTGACTGCAAATGAATACATATCACGGCAAATGGAGTTGAACTCGCACCAAGTCACAGCAAAACCCCTTTCCTGAACGACCGTTTACACTTGCGATTTTTGCAGCGAGATTTTCGCGGCGATYGTCGCGCGACTATCGCTGAGTTTTAAACATGCTTGAAATTTGCTGCAATTTCACGGCGATTTTGAATCACCACAACAATCGCAAGTCTGCATTAACAGTACGATTTGAATTGCTCGATAGTAGCAAAGTGGCGATTTTCGATTTTTTTTACAACCATCCACTTGTAGCAGGCGTTCCTCTGCACGAGTCCTTATGTTTAAGTTGAAAAAAGAAAATTTCTAGAGAAAAACAAACAAGCTAACAACAGCAAATAAAGTAAATAAATTAAATTTAGAATTGCCGTTTTGCAACGCACTTATCTCGAAGTTAGTAAATCTCTTAATGGYTTGAGTCACATGCCAGTACACCAAGTGATTTCTTAAAAAGCAGTGTTATGCGAAGAATGTAAATTGCAATGGCTTTAAAACGAGTGTCTTTGTAAAACTGAGCCAGACTTCGGAAGTCAAGAAATCCCTTATTACCAAGCAAGCTTATCCATTGTTTACATTGGGCACACACTATTATGAAGGATTACTGATTAAATTGTTTGTTTTACCTTACAGTACTCTGTTGATTAAAATTACCAACACTCCCTTGGTGGGGAAGTGGGACTGATAACAACATGCAACATGCAGCATTATGGGTATCGATAAAATTGTGGCGGATGTTTGGAACATTATGAAACCTACGGAAAATGCAGTTTTTTAACTGTTTTCGGGGATATAATTGAAAAAAGATAATTTAATTTTATGACTGTACTTGCATCCTAGCAATATGTTGCAYGCAAAACCGACTGGCACAAAAACATGACGTTAACTGATTGACTTGTAATGGCGTCATAACGGAAATGGCCCTTCACTGAAAACACATTTAATGAATCAAATAAATACGTGCAGGTGTAAATTCAATGATGCCAAATTTGAACAAATTCTCTCGTTGATTTATCATGGAGGATTTGCGGTGTCGACTGTTATTACGTCATTGTGGCAAGAAACATGTTCCTAGACAGAAAAACTTAGAAATCATGTTACATGTAACAGCCTGCTGTCAGGTCATATCTTTATTATTATTATTATCCTGTAAAGCATATAAATTATATATATTGCTTATATTATAATTATTATTATTATTTAAAATAATAACTTTTTTTCTTTTTTATTTGATTTCAGTATTTGTAAATTCATATCTGCATATTATTATCATTTCAAGTAGCCAGTTGTTAATTGCCTATAATAAAGTAGTGAGATTTACAACTGTATGATTCTATAAACAAATAACATCATTATAATTATTATTATTTAGAATCAATATTGCACTTTTTACGATGCAATGACTCCTTCAGAACAATAAAACACCAGTTCGTGCTTTCTCGCTACCGCCATCAGTTTTGTTTGTTTGTTTATTTGTTGTTGTTTTTTAAGTTGTTGTTCTTTCATGGTCACCCTGTGTTACTGTGGAGCATACCGGGTAATCAAAATTTATGCCTAACTGCGCATGCTCATAACTGTTTTTCAAAATGGCGACCGAAAATCAAAGTGGTTTTTGTCGCGGCGTTTCTAAAATCAAGCAATGGGTTGGATGGTCTTGGACTTACCTTTGGGGATTTTGGTTTCTTCTTGTGATATTTCTGCTTTATATACTGCGAACTCCACTACGTTTGAAGGAAAATTTTAGCATCGGTGAGAAATATAAGACTAAACTTTAAGCTTAATTTAGAACGCGCGCTTTCTAAAATTAGACATTTTTTTCTATTCCCTTACTTATTTTATTTTGACTTGAAATTAAGCCGAAATTTTCACAAAAACAACATACTGGACGGTTTTCTTTGATAATAACATTTTTCTTTCCTGATAGCATCATTTTTTGGATTTGTGTTTTCCTCTTTCGATTTCAATGAAAATGTTCAGATTGTTTGTTCAGAAAAGACCATCGATCGATCATCACAAATATTGCGTTGTTTGTATTCAATGTCCCTGTCACACCTTCTCTCATCCTCGAAAATAATCGTGAATCTTAAATTTGTGAGATGGTTTCAATTAAACTTATATCAAAATTGTTTTTCCTCTTCAGCGTTAATACATTAAGCTTATCCCATTTTTGAGATGTCAATTGTTTATAAATGTCACATTTTCACAAGTCTACAGTTGTACAAAGACGTTATTTTGTTTACATATATTTTAAAACTGGATAGCTTGTGATAAGTCTTATGTTTTGTCAAAAAAGAGAAATTTTAACAATAAAAAATTTGGACATTTGTTGGACATCTGCTCTCAATATTAAAAAAAACTTCTTGGTAACCAATTAAGAAACTCAAAAAACTATATTTCTTTTTCGGATAAGAATGTTAATTCAAACAAACAGATGAAAATTTTCATAGTTGAAGTTTTTTTCATAGTTGGAGTTTATTATCAATAAAAAATATATGAWTTAAAACTAGAATGCTATTTGAGGACAAGAAATGATCAATCAAACACAGTAGCAGGTGTTTGTCAGTATTCTTTTAGGTTGTCAACTTTTTAGCACCTTTTCATAAAAGGTTATTATTCTCAGTAAACATTATCATATTGCTGCCATGGTTTTCACTGAGTTTTAAAAATGATTACTGGTCACACAAAAAAATAATTAAAAAGATTTTATACTTCATTTCCCAATAACATAGAATCAAGAGATCTAAGAGAGCTGTTGCCAGTSCTTGGATGTAACTGCAGGGTAGTYGTCATAAAAGAACAAACTATACATAATTGTAAAAGGATAAAAAACTTGCGTATATAGATATGATTAAGGCACATTTATGGGCATGTAAAATTGTAAGCTGCAAGCAAGTTTCTGTTTCTGATTATTGTAAAAACATGATCAGTATAAAACTGAGAAAACATAGGCATATGTACATCCTTACATCAAGTTTTAACCAGCTTCTGTTATCTTGCTATATCACAAATATTTTAAAACTCTSAAAATTCAATTCATAAGCCAATCAGAGGAGTAGTAATATTTCTAATATTTTAGTTTATTYAATTCATGCTGATTTGTTTGTTATACCTTTGCAGTTGTCATGTTTCTTAATACTCTGACCCCAAAGTTTTATGTGGCTTTGACTGGCACTTCGTCATTCATCTCTGGAATTATTCTGGTATGGTTCACWTTGCTTTAATTCCARTTATTTTTAGAGTRCAAAYACTAAAATCATGAAAATACCATAGTTAACTAATTAGATACTAATTTACACTGAATTATGTGTGTTCCTTTGTATTCTGTCTTCTAATATTCACTTTTTTGTGCTCTTTTGTAAGTACATGTAGTTAGTGTTTGCCTACTTGCTGACTTAGATAAGCTAGTAGATAATCTGGGTACTATTTCGTGTGATGGGAAAAAAATGTGAACCATAATTTGTTTCAAAAAGTTCCAACTAATAACAAGTCATTATTATTTTAAAATGTTAATATTTTGTATCAAAGTGCTTTCTTTTCAATTCAAACCCATGCACTTCTTTATTTATCTTAATCAGTCAGTTATGTCTTCTAGATCTTTGAATGGTGGTATTTCAGAAAGTATGGTACATCTTTTATTGAGCATATGTCATTATCCCATCTTGGACCAATACTTGGTGGAGGTGACAGCTCACAGAATAGCTCATCTCAAAATGTTGCAGGTCAGTTACAGTACAGGTTCACCTTATTGTCTATCTAAGATGCTTAAACTCCATTTTGGCTTTAAAACTTTATTAAATTATGGTTAAAACTTTATGAAAATTTTAAAACTTTATAAAAATTTTAAAACTTTATCTTAACTGCCGTTTGTTAATTGGGTAGTTCCAGAAAATATCCGTACCATATGACGGGCGGCATTTCGGAAATCCAGAGGGGAGGGGGGGTCATCGATTTGGGAATTCCAAAGGGGAGGGGGGCTGAATGATTTCGGAAATCCAAAGGAGGGGGGAGGGGAATTATAGACATATTATGTCTTATAGAAAACGACCTTCGACACCTTCAACAGGGACTTATGTTGATCACGAAAAAATCACTATAAAAACGTTTGAAAACCACGACAAAAACATCTAAAACTGTATATGAATTCAAAATACGTACATTGAAAGCAACACAGCTTATTCTCGAGTCATTTTAACAAAGTTTAAAGCATCCGCRTGGGTCCGTSATCGGCGATTGTAAACAACATATGGTCAGCGGTTTCTTGACAGAAATTAATRGCGTCTCGGTCGTCTTGGTCGCAGATCACCATGYGTAGTATTTTTTTCATGCGAGTCTCACTACTTTGAACACTTGTTAATAGAAATTAACTATACAAGGTATAAGATAAGTAATTCCAATGGCAATGATTTTTGCGTGCTTTTAAGCACTTCCACGAATCTAGACGATGCATTGTTTTCGAACGATCTGACAGTTTTACGATTGCGTTCTCTAAAACAGTGCTTGTTTTGAAGAGAATATGTATTCTCATTCATTTCCAAGGGGGGAAATTAATTTCCTAGGGGGGCAAAACACGATTTTGGAATTCCTAAGGGGAGGGGGGATACCCAATTTCGGAATTTCCCAAGGAGAGGGGGGGTCGGAAATCGATGCCGCCCGTCGTATGGTACGGATATTTTCTGGAACTACCCATTTTTAGTATATATGTAACACATCACTGTCTTCACTCAACGGTTTGCATGAAATAACACTCCAGAAAAAACAATTAGACTCAGAGAAAAATATACATAAAACAAATACAAGATTCCATTTACGTACATCTGGATGCTCTTATTAGATGCATTCATGTATAGTTCAAGATGTTGACATTTTGAAGTCATCTGTTACATATTATTATTATTATTATTATTATTGTATTATTATTATTATTATATTATTATTATTATATTATTATTATATTATTATTATATTATATTTCAAAATTGTTGTTCTGACATTTAGGGATTTAGGAAATTAGGAATACATTAAATTAAATGGCAAAAGGTTACCACTAAAGCTGAACAATTTTTGTATTTTAAATAGCAAAAGTTATTTTTCTTGGACAATATTTCTGTAATTATATTAAGGTGTATCTATTAGAGTACAGATGCATGCAAAAATGGAATCTATTTGTTAATTAAAATTATAATGTCACTTAAAGGAAGAGGTATCCAMCMTTCAAGCCACCAATGGCTGATRGTGAGGATAGGAACCCCCTACTTATGTTTGAAACTGCTTTATATMTTGTGTTAGAGTGCAAAGTCTGGAGGAATCCAATGAATTTATTTAGAGGGTGYGAATACAACAGGTATGATGGATGGGGGAATTAATTTAAGTGTAAGTAGTGAAGAGTATGTGCATGTTCCTCCTACCTTATTATCAATTCACTGATCCAGCATCAATTCAACATTTGTTGCACCGTATTGGATAACTATTATAGYAAAATACTCTCTAGAAGATCAGGACCAGCAGCTTGTTTTAACTGTTCTTTGTAGGTTTTCAGTAAACACCACTTTCTAGAAAATCAGGCATTAGTACAACTATATTAGTTCTATTTCTTTTTTTATGATTTGGAAGTTTCAATTCATTATTCTCTGTTTATTGAAGTTGTTAAATAGTAATTCTAAATGTTTAGATTTATCATAAGTTAAATTATTCATTAATAATAATTATTGATCTTTGTTTTTAGATATCTGTGGGTTACTGGAAGAGAACCGTTAACGTATTATGACATGAATCTTTCAGCGCAGGACCATCAGGTAATGCATTGATCCTGAAGTTTGTGTTTGTTTTTCATTGATTATTTTTTGCTTTTGTTCATAACAGTGTGCAACACTACATGATTGTTTTGTGTAATTGTTAATTAAATAGAGCTAATAAAAAAATAGAATTGGCATGATTTAGAACTATTTAAACAATAGAGTGTGTGAGCCMAGGGSRTTATGCTGTGATAGACACCTTGCAGAAACCCGATGTTCCAAAAAACAAATAGTCGCCCAATATTGTAACTGAAAAGTMTTGGGAAACATCCAGTTTCCAAAGGCAACTATCACAGTAGAGATTGATYGGCTCTATTGGTTTTATTATTATTCGACAACTACCCACCCACCTTGAAGTTGGCWTTGTTGCATCACATGATCAAAACATGACCAATGAGAACAGAGGAAAACTTTTTGTTGAATTATAATTAGTGGCATTTTAATATAATTACAAGGCAAGCCAAGCATATTGTGATTTTCTATTCTATTTCTTATCTGTTTTTATTTCACTTGTAGACATTTTTCACCTGTGATGCAGATGAAATGAGTATTAATCCTGCTGATGAAAGTAAGTTAAACTTATATCTAGAATTATTTTTTACAGAAGCAAATTATTAAGTCATTATTGTGTTGCCTTCCATAATTACAGTAATGCTAAAGGCTTGGAGAGAAMGAGATCAAGAAAAAAGGATTAAAGCCGCTGAAAATGCAATTGCAGCTGATCCAAAGTAAGCATTGTATGAAACTTGTGTACTGTGGAAAGTTAGTTTTTTACGTAGTTGCCTTTGCAACTATATGCAATGGCCTGGCACTGAAACTAAGGGCACTTTAATTGTTCACTGCATCTCCTTATATGACAATGGAGCATTCATTAAAGAATTTATTTCAGCATGTTTTCAATTTTGAATTTTTTTGGTTGTGTCTTTTTCAGTTGTCCGACAGCTCTTATCCTCTTGGCTGAAGAAAAAGTAAAGACAATTACMGAGGTTTGTTTGCAATGCGCTCTCAAYGCTCTKGTTTAGTCCTTTTCACTCCTACTGTAACCTAAAGTTATGGTACATGTATAATTTCTTTATTAGGCTGAAAGCTGTCTTCAGAAAGCTTTAAAGAAAAGTGATGAAAACCTTCGAAATGGTGGTGTGCTGTCCAATGAATCCAAGGAAGATGCAGTTCATAGTRMGACAATTTTTCTTTCCTGACATGTTGTAGATACTACTATTCTCTTATTTTAGGATGAACTAATTTAATTTTGCCAATAAACCTTTTCCCCATGGTCTATTTTAAACACTCACTCAYTCACTTTCTTGTCAACATTATATTGTTAACATTGTTAGTCATATCCTTTTATTATTTGTGTACACATACAGGAAAGAATACCAATGTATGTGTGTACATCCGCCGGAGACTAGCAATGTGTGCTAGGAAGCTTGGCAGAACAAAGGAAGCAATTAAAATGATGAGAGATGTAAGTAATTGTAAATTATACTAAGTTTTTGAATTCCAAAAAACTGATGTCTTAACAGTMCACTTTGGATATGCTGGTTGAATGGTCTTACACATWAGAGTKTAAAACAAGGCTCAAGGGAAATAAGAGGATTACCTGAGTTTCATTGTATTCTAGTCAACCAGAAATATCAAAAGTGAGCTATATGTTAGCAGCAAATGTGAAGTAATTTGGTTTTTGTTGTCAGTTGATGAAAGAGTTTCCCATGATGAGTGTTCTAAACATTCATGAGAATCTAATAGAGGCACTGCTGGAAATACAAGCTTATAGTGAAGTACAGGTACGCTGTCAAGAAACAAAGGAATTGTTATTTTCCCATTGTTAAGATAAAATAATGCTATGTAGTCATATTATTTGATTTTTGTTCTTTAATTTCCAGGCAGTGCTAGCTAAATATGATGGTAAGTTTGTTGTTTGTGCTTTTGCATTTCTCACTCTGTCTACTTGGTCCTATTTGTCTGTGTATATATTTGCCTGTGACATGGACTCTATATACATTTTGGAAAGTTTGTCTTTAAGTTTCTCTTTCTGGAAAGTTTGTTTTTAAGCATATTCCTATATTTCCAGGATTTTAAAGCAATACTTTAGTTTTTTTTTCAAAAGAGAGAACTTCCATGGATACATTCAGCGTCAATTGACCATGTTCCATTAATTAATGTCATTATTACACACASAGCATACATCAATAATTAACGTTCAGCATTTTGTTTTGTTAACTTTCAGATATCTCCTTACCTAAGTCAGCTACAATTTGTTATACTGCAGCGTTACTTAAAGCAAGAGCTGTGTGTGACAAGTACGTAGTGTGACGCTATAACTATGTTTTTTTAATTCATTTTAAAATTGTTTAGCGAAATGTTTTTAGTCAACATAAAAAGTCTGAATCACACGTCATACTTTGTTYTGTAAAAAGGMAGYCGCTACAAATTATCGATTRTGYTGTTTTTAAAAAGCATTAAAATGTTTTTTCATACTTCTTACTATTTAACTTTTGCCGTTGAATCAGGTTTTCACCAGAAATAGCTGCTAAAAGAGGATTAAGTCCTGCAGAAATGGCGGCGGTAGAGGCAATACACAGAGCTGTGGAGTTTAATCCKCATGTTCCTAAGGTAAGTCCTGTGTGTGTTTGTGATGTGGTCATTCCCGTTGTATATCTTATAAGGAGATGTTTTGTTAGWAATATCCCTTKCGGCKTCGGCGAAATACGTTGTTGGAGAATTTCATAGGGTTWAGTGTTAAAAAATTGTACATTCGCTTATAGAATGCATCAAACTTCGTGCAACCGCGCAAAAACATCGCAAAAGATCATTTATTACAAGAGCGCTATGAAAAAAGTTTCTAAAAAAGCTTCATATATGTGGTTTCTTCGCAGACTCGTACCCTGTCGTTTCTCTGGCTCGTTTTACGGGGTCGCGGTGCATCAAGGGATGTCCGAACTACCGGGGACTTTTTCTTCCGACTTCCCTTGATCCTTGCGCGCGCAAGAGAAAAAAAGAAGAGTAATGACTGGGTACGAGTCTGGTTTCTTCGTACGCCTGGGTTGGGTTGTTAAAAGCCGATAAGCGTTAATCCACGGGTAACTCCATAAGTTTTTTGAAAGTTAACCCAGGATTAGCGCTAACGAGCTTTGAACAACTTTGCTCACCCTGTTATAGTGAAAGAAGTTTTGACACTGCTTGACGTCTCAATTGCACAAATTACGTTCTTTCAGTATCTTCTTGAACAAAAAAGCTTGGTGTTACCACCAGAGCACATACTGAAAAGAGGCGATAGTGAAGCTGTAGCTTATGCCTTCTTTCATCTTCCACACTGGAARAAAGTGGAGGGAGCGACCAATCTACTTCACTGTACATGGGAAGGAAGTAAGTGATTACTAMAGGATTAACAATATGCAACTTGTGTCGGCATTCCAGTACAAACTCCCACACACTTGATAATTAATGTCTAGTTCTATTGAAGTTAAACGATTGCAATACGGCCAACTCCAGGTATAGCGGACAGTAGGCTTKGTGAATGTTATGGGTTTTTTGTTGTTGTTGTTGTTTTTTTGKTTTTTTTGTGAGTTACTTTCAGTAATTATTTTGGTTCACCTTTCGTCAAAATGGAGACTACATGGAGCCAATGTTTAACATAGACTATCTTGCAGTATAAATCAGTTATTATWTCTCATCATTTAGAGGTATACATGGGTATTTTTTTTATCTGACTTAAACAATCTATGCCAATGTTGCAGCTTTTCGTTTAGTCCCGTACCCATTAGAGAAAGGACATCTTTTCCATCCTTACCCCGGATGCACAGAGAATGCTGATAGAGAACTTATGCCAGGTCAGTTTGAAATGCTATGAAACGAAAATACACTAACTTGATCACTTGGCAATCGTTGGGGGGGTTAATTAAGCAATAAACGATAGCTTGAAGSGGTTTACTGGCGAAATAAACCGCGCGGGATGGTTGGGAGAACACGAGAAGAGATCTGTAAATCTTATCACTATCKTTATCATTATCAGGCGATAATGTAAAAGCAGAGTTAGTAGATAAGAACTAAGTCTGTCAAAGTGAACGGAATACTTGGATGTACAATGAGTACAAATATATTCATGATTACAGAACCAGCAAAATGCTTGCTGCATTTAATTTCGTCAACAAAACATCAGTGAACATTTAATGGTGTTTAATATGTAAATACTATAAAATGTTACAAAAATTGTTTATCGACTACTTCGTAGTCCACTTGACCTTGTGTGATTTTAGCGTTAAAAAAGGTCAGTAAGGATACCAGACAACTCTACATGTCCATGACCGTATCTATGAATAGTTTATAATACTAGTGAGTGCTGCCATTAAGGTCTGTAAGGATACCAGACAACTCTACATGTCCATGACCGTATCTATGAATAGTTTATATAATAGTAGTGATTATTGCTATTACACTGTAAGGTCTGTAAGGTTATCAGACAACTCTACAAGGATATGACTATATCTAGAAATAGTTAATAATACAAGTGATTATTGCTAGTGCTACTAAGGCCTGCAACGGCAAAAGACAGCCGACTCCACAAGGGCAGGTCTTGAGCTTTGGTGTGAAGTCTTTGAATGACTGTTTAACACTGCTCCATTCTACGTTCCAACTGTTGCACAGACTGTTTCTTATTTTGTTATTCCAGAAATGACCTGAAATGAATTGACAACGCTGATATTTGACAAGCAAACGAGCACTGACTTGATAAGCTTTTTTTGGAAACAAACTCGTCGCTGAAAAACTTCACATGAAAAAGCGGGAAATTGATGACACTCGCGCGCCGGGTCACAGTAAAACGGACGGGAGAGGCGGGGTTTCAATATTAGGAATAGACAACTGAAATTTATAGTGAACTACGCGGTCTGAACAGAGAAATGTCAGACAATGGTCTTAACCCTATGGGGGCTTCTTCGTCGATCGATACCAATGATGTTGGTAGCATGTACTGTATTCCGCTCTCTGACAGCCTTTTCCGAAATACCGATATCTGATAACGAGATAACTTTTTACCTGATATGAGGTAATCTTTGTTCGAAGGGATGTTTGTTCCACAAGTTGCACTTTGAACAGCAGTGGAAATGTTTACTTGCGAAGTGTCACCAGCTATGTCTTTGATTTTCTCTTTTCCTTTAAAGATTTCTTGGACTTTCACCGTGAACACTCTTTCTTGACTTTCTGGTCTTGATTTGTTTCCCGTCACAACACTCTTTACGACCGTACCTCGCAGAACTATAGAAAAATACATGATGAGGTCACAAAGCCGATGAATTTTGCTAAGAAATTATCGTTCGCCAAAGTTGTCAGAAAATGTTTCCTTGATTGTGAATCTCTAAAAAAATTGATAGTACGTACAAAATATTCGTCTTTTCTTTTGTACAATCAWCGTCCAAAATAAATTACTCGATAATCGGCCTGGAAATGTTGTAACATTTGCGTTTTGTTGTTATAACGGTCAACCGACCATGTTGTTTTTTATTTAAAGAGAAAACAATGTTTCTTTGATGTCAAATATCTTAATCGATTYAAAATAAATTGCGTGAAATATAAGACTTCCGAGTCTCAACCTGAAAAACAACTTTATTTCACATCTTTTCTAGCCCTTTTGACCTGTCAAGTCGGTATTAAATCCGGCGTCAGTGGTTTGTAAGATCACAATTTTGAATCCTAAACGATTTCCACACGAACCGATTTGAATATTCATTTTTTTTCTTTCGTCGCAATGCGCTTTGTCAAAACTCCGAAAATAAAGAAGTTTGAACGAAAGGAAACAAAAAATGAGATTTTTTGAATGTTTCTTTCTTCACTTTCAGAAGTTGTTGTAAGCGAATCACTGATATTAGAGTACTAGAAMAATCGGTTTATTTGGTTATTGAAGCGCAGATGGAATGTCCATGTCCACGAAATCCTAAAGTTTGAAATGCAAACGGTGCCAAGGAAAAATGTTAAAAATCTAAGTCAGTACCACGAACTCTCAATTTCAATGTATTAAAAATGCAATATTTTAGATCTTTTAACCTTTCCATTTTCAATTTCTTATGGAAAATTCAGAGCGGCATGATTTGAATAAACAAAGTATGGTAATGTTGTTGTGACCTTACCGTAATCGTTACAGCATAAAAACTCTGGCGTTGACGTATCTCGWGTGACACAAGAGCAGGCTTTGCTCACTGTTACAAAACACACGGCAGCCAAACACAAGTAAAGTGTTAGGTTCATGTCGAATGTATTTGATAGAAGTGGAACACTACTTGACTAGTACCCAGTCTTTGCACTCTCCTAAACAGAGGTGGCTGGACTCTTATAATTTTAATTTCCCATGTACCTTTTCGGTCTCGGCTGCTAGTGCATTCTCTATGATTTTCAACTTCTAACCCCTCAGTGGATGTCACTGAATATCTGACCTAAATAACTAAACAGCAATTTACAGGAAGCAGTGGACATTTTAAGGAAATAGTCAGGACGTTTATCGATAAAATTAAAAAAATAACAAGGGATAAATCAGTATTMATCACCTTTTTTTAATGTTTGCACATGCACCTCCTGTTCCCCCTTGGCTAAGGTCCTGCAGTTGATCGTGTTTAGTTTTTACAAAGTTTTTATTGACTTCTGAGTAGTCGGATGACAGTACTATATAGAGCGGATTTCGTATGAGTGGGACACCGTTACCGCACGGTTACCGCACAGTTACCGGACAGTTTTTGTGAACCAATGGGGCACTAGAATTTGGTTACAGTACGATTACGGTCACAGTACAGTACCGTCCGTTTCCCACTCATTCGAAATCCGCTCTAAGGGTCTAATAATAACAGACAGTCCTACATGTCTATGACTGTATTTATGAATAGTTTATAATACTAGTGAGTGCTGCYATTAGAGTCTGTAAGGATACCAGACAACTCTACACTGTCCATGACTGTATTTATGAATAGTTTATAATACTAGTGAGTGCTGCTATTAAGGTCTGTAAGGATACCAAACAACTCTACATGTCTAGGACTATATCTAGAAATATATATATACTTATTATGCCAGTGAGCGCTGCTAGTGCAACTAAGGCCTCAAACGGCAAAAGACTGCCTCCACAAGGGCAGGTCTTGAGCTTTGGTGTAAAGTCTTTGAATGACTGTTTAACACTGCTCCATTCTACGTTCCAACTGTTGCACCGATCATTTCTTATTTTGTTCTTCCAAAAAAGACCTAAAAGGAAATGTTAAAGCTGATATTTGACAAGCAAACGAGCACTGACTTGATAAGCTTTTTTTKGGKGAAAGAACTCAATTCTCGTCGCTGAAMAACTTCACATGAAAAAGCGCGCCGGGTACAATAGAACGGGCGTCAGAGRCGGAGTTCAATATTTTACAGAAAAAGTTATCGAACTTTCTTACGTGGTCTAAACAGAGAAATGCCAGACATTGGTCTTACCCTATTAGGCTTTCTTGCTCGATCGGATATGAATGATGTTGGCATTTTCTGAAATACCGATATCATAATGGGTTAACGTTTTACCTGAGATGAAATAATCTTTGTTCGAAGGGATGTTTGTTCCACAAGTTGGACTTTGAGCAGCAGTGGAAATGTTTACTTGCGAAGTGTCACCAGCTATCTCTTTGATTTTCTCTTTTCCTTTAAAGATTTCTTGGACTCTCACCGTGAACACTCTTTCTTGACCCTCTGGGTTTGATATGTTTCCCGTCACAACACTCTTTACGACCGTACCTCGCAGAACTATAGAAAAATACAGAAAATAACTGGTGCGATGAGGTCACAAAGCCGATGTATTTTTTGCTAACAAATGATTGTTCGCCAAAGTTATTGTTAGGTTATGAACTTGTACGTGATTGCGTGACATACTGTTGTTAGTTGTAGTAGTTACTGGTTCAGAAAATGTTTCCGTCATTGCAAATCTCCAAAATATTTCATAATAAGTACATTATATCCGTGTTTTATTTTGTACAATTCAACACTAAATAAATCACTCGATAATCGGACTGGAAATGTTGTAGCGATTTGCGTTTTGTTGTGATAACGGTCATGCCGTGCTGGTTTTCATTTGAAGCAAAAACAATCTTTCTTTTATGTAAAATATCTTGATAGATAATAACTTACGTGAAATATAAGACTTCCGAGTTTCAACCTGAAAAAACAAATGTATTTTACATCTTTTCTTTTCTTTTCTTTGACCTTTCAAATCCGGCGTAGTTTGTAAGTTCAATTTTGTATCCTAAACTATTTCCACACGAACCGATTTGAATATTCATTTTTTTCTTTCGTCGCAATGCACTTTGTCAAAGAAGTGTGAACGAAGTGTGAACGAAAAGAAACAACAATTAAGCTTTTTTGATGTTTTTTCTTCACTTTTACAAGGTGCTGTAAGCGAATCACTGACTAGAAAAATCGGTTTATTTGGTTATTGAAGCSCAGATGGAATTTCAATGTCCACGAAATCCTAAAGTTTGAAATGCAAACGGTGCCAAGGAAAAATGTTAAAAATTTAAGTCAGTACCACGAACTCTCAATTTAAATGTATTAAAAATGCAATATTTTAGATCTTTTAACCTTTCCATTTTCAATTTCTTATCGAAAATTCAGAGCGGCATGATTTGAATAAACAAAGTATGGTAATGTTGTTGTGACCTTACCGTAATCGTTACAGCATAAAAACTCTGGCGTTGACGTATCTCGAGTGACACAAGAGCAGGCTTTGCTCACTGTTACAAAACACACGGCAGCCAAA